AATGAGACCAGCTCTCTGAGTTTCAGCTCAGTTTAAAGCAGGTTCCAAGCTTGAGGGGCAGCGTAACTGAACGCCCTTTTTCCAAGTTCAGTACGGACCTTTGGTACAGTTAAAAAGAAAAAGTTCTCGGAGCGAAGCCAATAAGATCCTGTGCATTTTCTATTTATGTACATCCTTAGATAAGGGGGAAGAGCACCAAGAATAGCCTTATATATAAGGATGTGCCAATGTTTCAGTCTACGCGTGGTCAGGGAAGACCATCCAACACGAGTGTATAGATTGCAGTGGTGCGTCAAGGATTTGAGGTTTGTGATGAATCTCAGTGCACTGTGGTAGACGGTGTCCAGCGAGTGAACGCACTGAGAAGATGCATTCATATAAACCACATCTCCATAATCCAGCACAGACAGAAAGGTTGCAGACACTAGTCTATTTTTGGCCTCATAGGAAAAACAAGACTTGTTTCTAAAGAAAAAAAACAATTTTAGAAGAGTTCCACAATGTGTGCTTTAAAAGAAAGCGAATTTTCAATTATAATTCCAAGATACTTATAATTCCAAGATACTTATACATTCACTAAAACTCAAGGGTACAAGTCTCCAGAAATAGCCTGGAGCAAAACACTGCATCTCTGCAAGCTGAGAGGTGCTTAGAGAGACAGCATAACCGCTAACCTTCATGTTAAGGGTTGGAGTGTTTTTTTTACATTAACTTAATCAATAAGTTTACAAAATCTAAGGAAATGTTTAAATGTTTGTTTTGTCCGGTTAACAGCCTTAAACCACAACATCTTCCTTCAGAAATCATAAAAAGCATAATCAACATGTCTACAAAGTCAATCTCATGTTAATGGTCAACAGCTTCAGTGTCCTATCAAGGACATTCAGGACTTCCTCTTGGAGAAAGCTGTCGTTGCTCACAAATTGCGATTGAATTCTTAAGGGCCATGGGAGAAACACAAGAAAAATCTATTTGGGATTTTGTCTTGAAGCTGCGTTCAGTTCATTTTTCCCTTTTGTGGATTGAAACTCAAAAGAAGTTTGCTTTATCAATTCACATCAAGTCTGTCAGAAGCTACCAGTAAAACATCCTTTGAAGTCGGGGCCAGCATGTGGAAGCTACATTTGCTCACTAGCTCTTACCCTGTGTCTGCCTGGCGTACCCACAATAAATATTGAAATCTGCGGTGGCTGCCTGGAAACTTAATGGATGTTCTGTATTATAGATGTCACCCTACGGCGGTCGGCGGAGCAGTGGCTCGTTCCAACGCCACGGGACTGAGACACAGAGAGAGAGAGAGACACCATGACTGGCAAGGGACTGCAACTCTTAGACTCATCAATGCAACATTCAGTGGGTCAACTTGCATATTATTAATAACAAAGAATGTGAATACTGTGGAATAGAGAGATCTAAAACAATAGTGGTAGAGGGAACAAAAAGAGTGAGGCAGCGCTCAGTCAGGGTGCCCCGAGCTCATCACTGTCTTCCACATACAGGATTATAGTAGACTTAAATAGGGCATGTAAAGGGAGATCAAGAGGTTAAAAGATAAATGTCCCCCTTTCTTCAAGACCTTTGAGTTTTTCTTTAAATACTTTATAGCAACTAATCACTCTAGTTGCTTAAGGTGCTGAAGGGTTGAAGGGAACTATGTAACCTCTGATGAAGGGTTGTGTCAGAATTCATGTGGTAGTGCTTAATCAGAAAAACAACAAAACAAAAACAAAAAAAGAATAGCTGTATACTCATGTAGGCTTTCACCATTCAGGTTTGTTTTTTTCTTTGTGATTTTACTCCTTAAACCTTTTCAAATAAATGATTGTATGTCAGCGTTTATCTCCTGGGTAGTCCTTGAGCAGTTTCCTGACGTCTCTCTTAGCTAGAGAGTATACTCTGAACAGATATTAAGAGAGGGATTGACTACGGAACAACTTAAAGTTTTGTTTTGGACATGTCTGAAGGTCTGAACACTTTCCAGCAGCCAAGAGGTAGCAGGCAGAAAGGCGTTTGTACTCTATTCTCTTTTCGCCCAGCTTTATCCCACAAAGACCAACTCACTGCAGGCACAACCATAGACTGTATATATGCACAACTCAGAATTAAAATGGGTAAACTGTTCATTTCTATCTCAAGGCCTGTGCAGTTGGAAAATAACTACATCTAGAGCCTGGATGAAATGCTTAGAAGAAGAAAAAAGGTACAAGTACAGATTCCTGATGCTTTTAAGTGTGTTGATGATCGAAAGCTCTGCAAACCAATAATTGCTACAAATCTAACTGCATCATTTGAGGAGACGTGCCATAAACACTTCTATCATTTTCATTACTAAACTGCCATCAACTCAAATCTCACATGAACAAGTTAAATGTGAAGAACATCTACACAAACCCCGATGTCCTCCACATGTTTCCTCTTTGTTGTCTCTTCATCCTCTTTCCTCTAATCCGTCCTATCACCATCCCCTTGTTTCACTCCCTCTCAAGTCTGTTTCTATCTTTGCTGCTTTGGGGTAACAAATAAGCTATGCAACAGGTCTCATGTAATATTTATAATAAATGAGGCCTTTTCCACTCATCCTTATGAGGATAAACTAGAGACATCATGCTTGAAACTGTGGTGGAAGGGTTGGGTGTGAGGACATGTTCCTGTGTGCAGATGTACTGCCAATCCTTCCTCAGAACAGCAACTTTCCACTGAAGCCGATACAAATTCAGTTTAGGGAAATGGCAGCTCCCCTGGGTGAGGTGCGACACTGACTTCTGCCTGGGAGCAGAAACAGTGATCTATCATTTCAATAAATGCTGTTTTGGAGGCAGAGGGGGGAAATGTTATGAAAGAAATTCCCCTTGAGATTAAATATTTCAGTGAAAACTGAAAATAATCCAGACAGCCTAA